ACCCCCATATACTATTTCTTCATTTGCTCCTGGAGGAAGTGCTTCTCAAAAATGAAAGTGTTAAGAAAGAAGACAAAACCCACAAATAGAGAATACACCCCAAGAGAGGTGAGGTGAATGTCTGATATTCCAACGGGGAGAGATGCAGGATTACAACTACATAATAAACTCCTGATAAGAGCAGCTCAGAAACTTCCCAAAGAGCCTTAATTAGCAAAATAAAATTGATTGACAGCCTAACGTTCTGGGATATTTTGAGAGGAGATTTATACTAAGGGAGAGATGACCGTATGTTAATTTTGAAGATTAGGGAAATTGCATTCCATAGAAAACAAGTTGAGCAAGAAAGGGAAAGTGATGATATACCACATTCCTCACCTGTCAGAATTTGCAGAGCCAAATTGGTAAGCACAAAATATTGGTCTAGCCAAAATCAGAATACAAATATGTGAAAAGGATAGGAGATGAAGGTGGGGGTAAGGAACTGGTTATTAAAGAGAGCTCAGTTGTCATAATTCACAGTGGGAAGCCAACAGATGGGGCCCAGAACTGGAAAATCAAATAGCAACAACATGAGTGTGTTTATGTAGTGAAATAAATACTAGAAGAGTCTAAAAAGAGTTGAAAGTGGTCGGGAACCAGCAGTTGGCGTAATGGCTATGTCGCTGGACTCCCACGTAGCCGACCGCGGTTCGTGTCCCGGACCCGGTGGCTTAAAGCTCACACCGGGCGCGTGTGCGTGCGTGCCCAAGATCCCGAGAGGAGAATGAAGGAGAAGGGATTGCGGCGTGACCATCCTCTCTGGGGGGTGATTTCTCACTTTCTAGCTCTATGTCTCTGTCTGGTGAGCGCACGCGCTCTATAGCGAAAACCTCTCCAAAAAAAAAAAAAGAGTTGAAAATGGTTACATGAGGGGCCAGCAGAGGGCGTAGCGGTTACATCGCTGGACTGCCACATGACCAACCATGGTTTAAGTCCTGGACCAGTAGCTTGAAAATCATGCCGGGTGTGTGTGCATGCATACTCAAGCTCCCAGGAGGAAAATGGAGAAGAGATTGCTGCATGGCCCCGTGGGGGCTGATTTCTTACTTTCCCTCTCACCATGTCTGTCTGGTGAGCACACATACCCTATAGCAAACACCTCTAAAAAGAAAAAAAAAAGATTACTTTGGGTTGTGGGAAGGTGGGGGAGTGGATATGCTATCTTTTGTAGCAACCCTTGAACTGTCTGAACCCTTAAATCATGTGAAATATTTCTCTTAAAATATTAACAAGTTTTATAAATCAGTGTTACTGTCTCGTGATAAACAGTCCAGTAGGAAAGCATACAAAAGATGTAATAAGGAAATTCAAAGGAGAAAGTCCTCGTGGCTAGGGACATATTTTCATATAGTTTTAACATGAAATATGCTCAACCTCACAAACAGGGAGAGAAAGGACCAGCCACTGGTGTAATGGCTGTATCACTGGACTCCCATGTAGTTGACCACAGTTCGAGCCCTGGACCCAGTGGCTTGAACTCACACTGGGCATGTGTATGTGCCCAAGATCCCGAGAGAAGAATGGAGGAAAAGGGATTGCAGCATGGCCATCCCCCCAGGGGGTGATTTCTTGCTTTCTGTCTCTCTAGCAAGCGCACACACACCCTATAGCAAAAAACTGAAAACAAAAACAAAAACAAAAAAACACAAATGGGGGAGAGAAGTAAAGCTGTAATACTATTCTGTACCACCATGATGTAGAGATTCCACCCACCCAATTTTGGGACACTCTGCCCTGGTGCTAGACTTTTTTGTTTTGTTTTTGCTAGAGGGCTCAGGCACTCACTCAGGAGGGACAGAAGAGCGAGCAGAAAGCACCCTCGCTCCATGGAGCATGGTCACACTGCAGTTTCTCTTCCATCTCTTCCTCCCTTGAGATTTTGGGCATGCACACACATCCAGTGCGTTCCTCAAGTCACTGGGTCCCAGACTTGAACCGCGCTGTCGGCCATACAGAATCAGGCTGCCGTAATGCCAGGCCACAGAGCTGGTGCTGTACATTTGCACAGCCGCCAGCCTGGCAGCTGCCTCTGCAGAGACAACCGTGTGTCCCTCCTGGGCACCCTCGAAGAATCCACACAGGCACGTGTGGGAACCTGAGAAGACCCTCTGTGTGACTGTCTTTCCTCCATTCTGCCTGGCGGGTCCTCCCATCTGCATGTATAGGGCCACCATCTTGTTTTAACAGCTGCGTATTTTGATAGGTGGGCTACTGGTGATATGATGAGGTGTTGACAGGCATTAAAGTTGTTTCTAAATTTTTTTTCAAATGTGTTCCCGCTATTGGATGTGTGTGCTCGTCAGAGAGACAGTGAGAGAGAAAGATATATCACACACACACACACACACACACACCCCGGGGAGAAGGCCACGCAACAGTATCTTCTCCGTTCTCTTCACAGGATTTTTGGCACACACGGACTTACACCTAGCATGATTTTCAATTCACTGGGTCTGGGACTCGAACCACACTGTTGCTATGTGGAATCCAGCTGCCTTAACCTTCACTTTGCTTTTCAAGAGGTGTCCTGGCTAATACTGATACTCTGAGAGTTGCGGATGCTAAACACAAGCCAGCGTTGGAGGGCCAGGGTGCAAGGGCCAGGTCCCTGCGTGAGCTGAGTGTCTGAGCTGAGCTCAGTCTGCAGTGGGAGGTGGGACTGAGCGACAGTTCCACTGGATCCGCACATGTGGTGCCTGGGCCCCAGGGCTCTGGCCTTCCTGTGACCAGGGCACCAAGAGGGACTGAGGCTGAGCCGCAGCATCTGGAGGGGCCTCAGAGAGCGGCAACAGGTGAGACAGCATCAAGGGACACGAGCGTGAGGAGGGGAACGGAGCAGGGCAGCTCAGGGTGCTGCAGCTGGGAAGGCAGTAGCCGAGCCCTGAGCTGAGAGGAAGGCTGCCCGCTCCAGGGCCCAGAGCCCCCCTGGGACCCTTCCCAGGCTAGAGCTGGAGTCTAGGGTCCTCTGCGTGGCCACACAATAGCTACACACTTCACCTCACAGCTGCGACGGCTGTGCAGCACGACCCCGGTGTTGGTCAGGGAGCTGTCAGTTCCACCCCTGCCCTGAGCGCCATTCCCAGTGCCACCTTGGGATCAGAGCAGCCCCTGCCCTGGCTGGCATCACCCCAGCTCCTAAGGCCCCTCCCCACACTACTTGGTCCAGCACAAGCTGCTGGAGCCTGTGTGTGTCCCATTGCAGGCCCACGTCTATACTCTTCAGACAGACGTCTCTCCAGGAGATGCGTCAGCCACCTCAGGGGACATGGCCCAAGTCCTGCCCAGGCACACGGGGCCTATGCTCCAAACATTCGTTCGCACCCACCATTCCCTTTTGGCACTGCAGGAACGGAGGAGTGTGTGCCACGTTGTAGGCAGGAAGCCCAAGACTCAGCCGGACCAGGTCGCAGGTGAAGGGCCAGGCCGTGGACCCCAAGCAGCATGTCTGAGCCAGTGCAGGCAGCCTGCAGGCCGTGAGCACTCTCCCATCTGCTGGGCTCCAACCAGCCCTGGACTGGGGTGTGCAGGCCGCAGTGTGTCCAGGGGACGGTGATGGGGGCCTTCTAGGAGAGGATCTGAGCCCACCCTTGTCTGGAGGAACAGTGCCCAGGGCCTTCACATCCGGGCGGGGACACTGGCTGCCCGCTGCCTCCCATGGCCTGACCCTTGTGCCTCCCCAGCACACAGCCCTTAGATGCCTGGTCAGCTCAGAGCAGATGCTGGTGGGCAAAGAGGGCCAGTGGCAAACCTGCCAGCCTGGGGGACCCAGCCGAGGGGCAATGTTAGTCACTTGTGACCCCACCGACTCACTGGAGCCTGAGTGGGCTCCTGAGGAGAGCGAGGACAGGAAGGCAAAGGGAGGGACATGAACCAGCTGTGGTTGGAGCCCTTGGCCGCTCGGGCACCAAGGTAGGAGAAAGCCCCCTCGGCTTTCTCATGCCACAGGGCCTGGGGGGCTTGGCAGGAAGCCCGCCACCCCTAGGGACTTCACTGAGCCTCTCCCAAAGCCGCGGGCATCGTTGGAGGAAGCACCACGTGGAAACTGCATGGGAATCCACTGCCCTCTCTGAACCCTCGCCCAGTGCCAAGATATCAGACCTGCGTCAAGGGCAGAAGCTGCACAGGAGAGCCGGCACGCAGGCTCCGGGGAAATAACGTGCACTGTAAAAATACAACAGTAATGACTTACACCGTTTACATGGCTAACGGTAATGGGCCCCAGGAAGCGGCAGTCAGGTAATCGCAGGCCCTCGGCCCAGGAGTGGACGCCACGTTGGCAGATGACAGGTGGGAACAGTCCTCCCTGCCCAAGCTCCAGTCTTCTGTCCTGAGGCGGCCTAGAATGCAGGCTCCAGTGGGTGGCCTGGCAGGGGGAGGCCAGTGGACGTGGGAAGTGTCCAAGCCGAGGTCTGGGAAGAGGATGCCTGTGTGCTGACATGGGTGTGCATACCGGCTCCTTCCGCTGCAACAGCTGCATTGCCAATGGGGACGTGTAGGACACAGCCGTCATGCGGTCACCTCCTTTGGTGGGGGAAGGCAATTTGCATTCCAAGCCTCAGGAACTGTGCTCCCAAATTCTCCCCTGGGCAGCCTACGGCCTACACCTGGAGACAGGTCCCCTCTCAGCTGCCTGAAGCCGGAGTGACTTGTTCAGGCCAAAGGAAGGGTCAGTTCTGGCCACAAGTGAGGTGGGAGGAGAGGAACCCTGCCTTGTGGCTTTTGCACATTGGAATGCGCCAAGGAGGGCTCTGGAACCTTCCACTAGCCAGCAGTAGGTACAGACACCAGCCAAGCCTGCCCCTGCAGCTGGGAGGCCCAGAATCACAGAACCGCGACCACCCTAGGGTGCGACAGAGATGACCACAGAGAGGCCAGGGCTCCATCATAACAGCCATTGCCAACAGAAGGGGACGGACGGCCTGCCCGCCCCACTGGGCAGTCAAGCCTTGGTGGGATGTCCAGCCAGGCCCAGCCTGGCGCAGTGGCGTCACTGCGGGGTCCCCTTCCTCCTCTGCTCCAGCTCGGACAACCGCTCCTCCCGTGTCTGTGCGTGCTGGGCTCCGACCCTGTGCGCTGTCTCAGTGGCCGCGATGTCGATCTGTGCATAGCGGGTGGCACCAGCCCCTGAAAGTGGGCAGCCAGCACTGTCTTCAGCTGCAAGGGCAGTCCCCTGTCCCAGCGGCTGGGGCTCTGCGATACCCCCTCCTGCACCCACCCAGCCAGGACCTGACTGCAGGCCTCAGAGGGACCCAAGGGCCTTGTAGGTGAGGGATGCCTTCAGGGCATGTGGCCCAGCAGGAACTGTGGGGAACCATCACTTGCTCTGCAGGAGGAAAGACTTGGTGACCTGGAACGGGCTCCCAGAAACAGCCAGGGCTGCCACGCCTGGGTCAGGGCCCTGAAGCATGGGTCCCGCTCCCCTTCGGGTCCTCCCCACAGCACCCACCTCGGACCCCTGTGCTGGGCTCCTGCAGCTCCAGGCCCATGTAGTGCAGCTGCCTTTTGGAGGAGGGACTGACAGGGATGTTCACGTAGGTAGGTGTCTCAACACGCAGCCTCTCCAGCCCTGGGCTATCTGCAGCCTCAGGCCCTGGGGATCCTGGCAGGAGAGGGGCTATGAGATCCTAAAATCTTCAGCAAAGAGCTGCCCACCCTTCATAGCCCAGCACCCTCCTCCCACCCTCTACCTCTTCAGAGCCTTGGAAGGCTCCTTTCTCCCCTTTCCCTGGACCATCCTCCGTGCTGCCCTGTCCTGAGACCCACTAGATTCTGGAAAGAGCCATGCCTCCCTCCCCCACGTCGTGCATGGCCTTGCCAGCTGCCATTGCTGACTGCTGCCTGGCCCAGGGCCCCCAAGACCTGCCCTTCTCTCTGTCCTTGCAACCCTCATCCCTGTCCTCCGCAGCCACCTCCTCCTCAGTTGTCCACGCTCCTCCTCACCCTGTCTCTAGCCCTCCCTGTCTCTGTCCCCCGAGGCTGTCCTGCCTGCTGCGGGATCCAGGGACCCCACTGGATGGAGGAGACCCCTCAGGGATCCTACTCTTGAGCCCATGCTTCCACCTGCCTCCTGGTCACCTACACCCTCTCCCCCTCCCAAGAAACTCCTCCCGTTCCTTGGCGTTTCCCAGCGGTTCTAGCTCACTCTGGGAAGCCCTGGCAGGAAGCATCAGGACCCAGGTGGGTGGAGTCCCACGTTAGCAGGGCTGCCCAGAAACACACCAGCCCCCCTTTCCCGCAGGCCAGAGCTCCTGGCACCTGGTCATGAGATCCCGCGGGAAAGACTCCAGCAGCCCCTGCTCCCTCGTCCCTGAGGGCTGGTGACCTAGCCACCGCCAGGTCTGGACTCGGACCTGCCCAGGTGGTGAGGTCCTGTGGGCTCGAGTGTGTCACCCACAGCACACACCCACAACCACAGAATTCAGGGGAGGGGGGCTGGGATTTGGGGAGAGTGCTGAGAGTCCCAGCAGGCTGGTCTGTCTGAACTGCCTGCCCTGGAGGGCCCAGCTCTGCCGACCTGCTCCCCAGAGACCAGGGTCACTCTCTGTCACCTCCTTGGCAAGGGCCCCTTGGCCACCCCCAGTGAGGCACCTTCCGGAGGTCCACTCCTCATGGCACCTCTCACCCTCATTCCACTTTACTTCCGCCAGCAAGGCCAGAGCTGGGGAGCTCCATCTGCTGCTTGCTCCAGCGGGAAGCTCAGGCCAAGGAGGCACGTGGCCGGGCAGGGCTGAGTCAGGCCCAGGTCAGGGGGCTCCCCTGATTCTGTGAACACTGCAGGAAACACAGTTCTCTCGCCACCACTGCCCATCTCTCCAGAACTACATGGCCCTGGAGGACTGGACCCCGCTCAGAAAACAAGATGCAAATGCCTCACATCTGCTTCTGGCCTCACCACCCCTGGAGAGAGGTATGGGGGCTCCCGGGAGCAGTGCTGATCACCCCAGAGCCCACTTCCGGGTCTCCTACCTCAGGGCACAGCCAAGCCTGCACCATCCTCCAGGATCTGGTCTCTGGTGACCTGGGCCCTCACCTCGACTAAACCCTGATGCCCCTCTGGGCCAGCCAGCAAGGACAGTAAGGAATAGCAGGGAGGAGACCCCTGTTCCCTGCCGAAGCTCCAAGAAGGTGGTCATACTGCCTGCGATGAGCGGTGAGCAGTGAGGGGGCTGGGACATGGAGCCCGTGGTGGGTCCACGTGGAGCTAGCCTGGAACATCCGGGAGGGAAGAAGGCTTCTGCTGGACAGGGGGCGGCCACCTCCCTTCACCAGTGCTACAACCAGGAGAGCCCTGGGCCAAGTGCGACATGCCGACCACACTGCTGGAAACCTGCCCTCCCAGGGTACAGGGAAAGGGCACTCCAAATGCCAGGCTGGGCCTTCAGGGTCCTTGCATTGCCGAGTCTGTGGAGGGTGGCAGGGAGGCCCCAGCTGCTCTGCGTGGCAGATGGAGGTCCCATTGCCAGGACCTGGGCTTTGTTTGGCAGTCGTGTCGTGTGCCCTGAGCAAAGACAGCAGAGCATTTTCAATCCCAGAAAAGCTCCATTCTAAGGCAGGGATTTCTGTAAGTCTCCTGCATTTGTAGCATAAAGAATCCATCGTGAGAAAGAACCTCTCCCACGAGACCTGGCAGATAGGCAGAAGAGGGCCAGGTGCTGGGCTGGGGATGGGCTGGGGCAGGCCTCGTCCCACTAGCCATGGCAACGGGCAAAGGCCAGGCCATGCCATGTCCCCATGGGCTCCACACACCCACCCATTCACCGTGAACATGACCCGGTGGCCCCAGCACTCAAAGGGGACAGACATAGTCATGTCCCGTATAGGGGATGACAGGCAGAGGTGCTCAGAGGAGACACCTGGGCCAAAGTTTCCCTTGCAGGAAGTAGGAGGCAGCAGGCCTGGGAGAGCACCAGGGCATCGAGGATGGGTCTAGAAAGGAGGCAGGGCTCGTGTGGAGGCCATTGGAGGCCAATGAGGGGAGCCAGGGCTTGACCCCAGGGGGACATGGCATGCTCCTCGTGGCTCAGGACCTTGTCTTCCATATTTCCCAAGATCATCTTGGAGGGGAGAGGGTGGAAGCAGAGGGAGCACAGGCCTACATGCAGGGCAGGGAACAGAGGTCTGGACCACCCACACCACCCGGGGTCACAGGCGGCGGGCTCTAAGCAGAGCTGGGGTGGGGGGAGAGGGTGCTGTGCCCGGTCGTACCGCTTTCTCCCTCCTCAGCTGAGACCCTCATTGTTCGTCCCATGGGCTCCCCTGGCCCGAGGGCCATGGAGCTTCCAGCCAAGGCCCTGAGGAGGCAGCAGCTGCTCCCTCTGGCTCCCTACCTCCCCTCTCCCTCCAGGTTCCTTTAGTCTTTCAGCTTCTTGATAGCATCCCTTTAAGCTGCCTCAAACACAAGCAGAGAACAGGGGTCATTGTCTCTTGGCCTTTCCTCTCCCCCTGCCCCCCGCTTCCCTGAGCTGAAGGCCAGGCAGCACAGCATGCCTGCTCGGGTCACGCGGACAGCCCTGGACCCACCACGGTCAGGCTCCTCTGTCTCCTGCCAGGCCCAGGGCCCCAGCTCCCTCCTCAGTGAGAAAAGCTCATGTTCTTGAGCAGATTCTGGGCCTCTGCCTCTTCCAGCGGTGGTGGGTGTCCCCTGACCCCCACCTTTTACCTTGCCTAGGTCAAAGACATCAGATTTGGTGTAGGCCAAGTGGGTGGCAGGGGAGACGCCCAGGACTGTGAGGGGGCTGCCCTCCCCACCTCCTGTTGTCAAGGGACAGCCACAGCCCCCTGGACAGCAGGCCCCGCCCAGCCTAGCATCCAGGCCGGCAACGCTGACCCAGGAACCTCCAGGGCCAGCCGGGCCTGGGCTTTCCTGGGCCACCGTGCTGACCCTGCAGAGCCTGGCCCCAAACAGGTGTCACTGACCCTGAGTAGGGTCTAAAGCAGCCCCTACTCCGTGGGGAAAATGAGGCTCAGAGCTGGCCCAGGATCCCCCCAAGTCCTCCCACACAGCCCTCCACACTCCCAAGGCCTCCCCTGAGCAGCCCACACCTGAGACCTACACCTGGAGAGGAATGCCCTGGGGACAGCCAGTCTTTCCACCTCCCATTGGGCCTTCTCTCCCCTCTCCAGCCCCAACACCGCACTTGCCAGACGACGAAGCCCCTGTCCACCCAAAGTGCCCCACCGTTCAGGCCTTGTCTCCCTGGGAAGCCTGCGACACCCCACCACCTTGTCTCCCAGTCCTCTAACTGCCTGAGGATGTTGTCCCTCTTACTGGTCCATGCCGTGGGGACCAACTGCCCCGTGTCTGTGCCTCCTGAGCTCCAGACTGTTGTCCCGCTGCCCACTCCCAGCGGGCACTCCAGAGATGGGTCACTCAGCTATGCCACATGGAACCCTTCACCTCTGCTCAGCTTGCTGCCCCACCCCACCCACCTCGCCAGGGCTCTCCCATCACTCACTCACCTCACCACTGTCACCCACTGCCCCTCCACCGCCCACTGTCACTCACTCACCCCACCCACCACCGGCCCCCACTGCCTCTCCACCAGCCACTGTCACCCACTGCCCACTGTCACCCCAGCCGCTCACCACCCTGCCCATCTGGCCGCCATCCTGACTCCCGTCTGCCCCTTCGTACTGTGTGGGGCTGGCTCCACGCCAGGTGCCTACCTGGATGTGTCGTTGCAAGTCCAGGGGGCGTGGCAGCTGCTCCCTAGACCAAAGAAATCACACGTCAGCGTGCCCATCCTCCTCCCCGCCCTCAGAGCCAGGACACTAACCCCCAGAGTGACACGATGACACAGGTCGGGAGAACCTGGGCCGCCTCCAGGGGAAACCAGCTGGACCCTTCACTCCTGGTCTTCCAGGCCCTGCCAGGCCCATGCACCCCAGGATTCCGGGTGCCCACCCCCAGCCAGCCTGGCAGCTCCGAACGACAGCCACAGAGTGCTGGCGCTCCAGGTGCAGGCACGGGGCGTTGTGCCCAGGCCTCCGGCAGCCCCATTTGTACTTGCTGGCGCCGCTTCGCCGGAAGGCAGCACGGCCGTCTAAGGGCCGTCTAAGGGCCGTCCGGACTGCGGCATCGATGCAGCCCCGCCCACACAGTGGCAGTTTCCTCTCAGGATCCTGCTCTAAGCAGCTCCTGGGGTGGGCTCAGCAGGGACCCCTTCCAAGAGAACTTCGCGTGGGAGGCCCCACATGAGATGAGCAAAGTCACCCCAAATTGCAGATGACCTCTGACAGCGGCAGGTCCCGGTCAAAGGTGTAGATATAATTGGAGGAGAAAGCAGCCCGGGACAGGGTCTGCAGGCAGGTGGAGGGACAGTGGCCCATGGCTGGGCCACTAGCATTCCCTGCCTGGTGGTCCCCAGCGAAGAAAGCAGAGGCTGAGCCAGTGGGGGCTGTAAACATCTCAGACCCCTCAGAAAAAGGCTCCTGTCTGGGCCTAGGACCCTGGACAGGTGACCAGACAGACCCTGAAGTCTCCAGTATTCTGAGGGAGCTGCCAGGGTGTGGCCTTCTGCAGGGTGGGGCTGGAAGACTGGACATGGGGGTTCAGCTCTCAATATCAGTCCAGGCCAGACTCAAAGGTGGAGGGTCACAGGGCGAGCCAGGACCCCCCAACCACTACCACCACCAAGACAGGATGCCCTGAGCAAGCCACACTGCTCTAACCACATCTGCGTTCATTACAGAGCCCCGTGCAGGCTTGAGGACTTAGGCAGTGCTGGGGGGCCCAGGGACAAGAGGCCAACGCCCCAGAGCCTGTCCTGACACGTAGCTCCATGGGCACCTGATGCAGGTGGTCAGGCAACTGCTCAGGGAGAGCCAGCTCTGCAGGCACAGGATCAACCTGAACTTGGCCGTGGGCAGACCACACTGGGTGACAGCGAGCGAATGCAGGGCCGCCTTGTAGCCCACGCCTGGGGCTAGGACCAGCAGGGGGTCAGGCAGCAGGTGGAGAGGGGGCAAGGCTGGTGAGCTGGGCTGCCCACTGGGTAGGGAACAAAACCTTCAGCACTCAGATGAGAGGCCTCATCAGCACAGTGGGAAGAGAATGAAAAGGTGACTCTGCCCTGGAGGCCCCACCCAGCCCCACTGTGAGGTCCTCGGTGGAAATACGGCACACTCACTGTGGGGGCCGGGCCCCCTCCTGCTGAGTCCCGGGTCCTTCGTCCTGGCCAGGGCTCTCAGGCCGGAAGCAGACATCAGAAGGCCCTGGCAACCTGGCTCCAACCTCCTCCTCACTGGGCAGCCCAACTCCCATACGGCCCTTCTCCAAAGTCCTCACCATCAATCGCAGCCTGGGAGACCCGAATCCTTAGCAAGAGCAGTTGCACAGGGTGGGACAAGCAGAACGTCCCCTCCTGTCCCCCCACTTCATGGCCAGGGGCAAGCCAGTCCCTGCTGGGGCCTCAGTCTATTCATGTCTGAGAGCTGCCTGCCCACCCCTTACCCAGCGAGCCACAGGCAGGGGACCGAAGCATGGACAGCGGGACTCTGGCCAGAGCAGGAGCCCAGCCCTTCAGAGCCATTCCATCTGGTTCCCAGCACCAGAGTCGCGGGCTTCTTTCACCAGACTCCGCGGTGGGGAGACCGCAGTGACAGCAATGCTGACGGCTCCCAGGACACGCACGCCTGAGTGCTCACATGTTAACCCATCAGACCCTCAGTGCAGCCAGAGGCAGGGACTGTCGTCCCGTCTGTGGAAGAGGAAACTGAGGCTCAGAGAGGTGTAGTGACTTGCTGGGCCACCCAGCCTGGCAGGGGGTACATGCGGCCCAAGCTCACCTCCCATAATCTGCCCACCCCAGAACGCCCTTGCAGCCAGCCCCCAATAAAGTGGGTAAAGGGGGAAAACAGGCAGGGCAGGGTGAGACAGTGCCCCTATGGGACATGCAGGGGTGACTAAGATGGGACCCTGTGGGGGAGACAGGCAGGGTGGGGGCTCTAGGCTCAGAGTCGGCTCCCTCACTGGCCCAGGAGGGAGAGTGGAGTGTCCACTCTCACCTGGACGTGGGGTGCCCCATGCCTAGCCCTAGGCACTACTGAGGGTTTCACCATAGTCTCCAATGGACACGCGGAAACACGCTACACACACCCCACATGCATGAACATGTATGCACATAAGGCACATACATCTCTCTCTCTCACACACACACACACACACACACACACACATGGGCTCTGTGGGCGATCTGAGCTTCCTCTCCTCCGCAGCATTCAAAGGCTGACCAGACAGTCCTCAAGGCTCTCTGTGTGACCCACAGGCTGGGGGCCCCTGGGATTTCAGATCCAGCCAAAGGCCCAAGGAGGAGGGCCAGGGCAGGAGGTAGAGAGGGCTGGCCAGACGCAAGAGGACAAGGTGGTAAGAAAAAGAAAGTTTTATTTCCAGTCTAAGAATGTATTACAAACAGTGTCGGGTTTTAAAAATGTGAAAGAGCAACAACGTCGTCAGCCAACAGTGAAGGTACAAAGCGCAGTATTTACAGGTGAGCGGTCTGCCCCCAGGACCAGGGTTGACTGCAGGAGCCAGCCAGGGGGTCCAGAAAGGGGGTGTGCAGGCCATGCCCCTGACGTGGGAGAGCAGAGCACCCCCGCCCCTCCCATGCAGGTGCAGCTGAGCACACAGGCTGGGACGCTGAGTCCGAGCTGGGTGGCCGTAGCAGGGCTGGGGCGTCCGAAACCAGCGGAGCCCTGGGGTCTGACTTCCACTACCGGGTCCTGACCACAGCTTTCCGGCCCGGGAGGAGGGCTCAGAGGGGTCGGGTGGGGGATTTTACAAAGGACCCTTAGGCACCTGGGTCACACGGAAGAAGGCAGTGCTGCCTGAGAGTCCACCCAGCCCTCTCCCTGCCCAGCCCCCTCCCAGTCCCCTCCCAGCCCTCCGGGGGCTCAGGAACAGGCTGATGGGGGAAGCAGACCCAGGCCCACAAGTCACGGAGCCTTCTGAGCCTCAGTTTCCTCCTGTGGCACGAGGACGGCGTGCCCACCGCGGGCTGAGGGTCAGAGGCGAGGATACACACAGAGCCTCGCCTTGGCTGGCGTTCCCCACGCTCGGGGGCGGGGAGGGTCATTTCTAGTGGGTGGTGTGACTGCACTTTGGAGGTGACCAGGAATGAGATGCGAGAGTGCATCATCCACAAGGTAGGAGGGAGGGGAAGGAAGAGGATGAGGCCCAGCCAGTGAGGCCCAGCCATGGCCGGAACCGACAGGGACACAGTGGCACCTGAGCCCCCAGCACCTGGTGCTCAGGGTAGAGGACAAAGAGCTGGGCTTTGAGGCTCCCGACTCCTGGCCTGCCAGCCCAGAGCCCCTGATTTCCAGGACACCCTCCCCAATCTGGCCCCTCCACTGGTGGCCACAGTGCCCACCCCAGGCCTTGTCCCAGGGGAGGATAGCTCTGAGGTTGTCACGCCCACACCCCAGGCCCTTCCCACAGGCTCGCTGGTGGGGCCGCCTTGAAATAGCACAAAGCACACCCCCCTGCAAGGCGGCCGGCTCTACACCATCTCGAATCAGAGGGACCAGGTCCAGGCCCCTTGCAGCAGCAGGGCCTGGTCTGCAGCTCTCAGGGAGGGGGGTTTACCTTGAGTCCGCCACAGACTGGACATGCCGAAAAGAAAGCCGGAGGTGGCCCAGTGTGGGGGCCGCCTGTTTCCCAGGGCTCGCCGCTGGGGACTGGGCTGGGCAGCGCGGCCTCACTGCCGCCTGGGGCCTCTGTCACCTGTCCCCGCCGTCTTGCTCCCAGCCAACTGGAGGGACACCCAGCAGACGTCTGGCCGCCAGAGTCCCCAGCTGCACTGTCATCCGGGCTGCCCTGCAAGGCCGGGCTTTGGTCCCTGGAGGCCTGGCGCAGGCTGCGGGGCGTGTCGTAGTGGTGCCGCAGGGAGGTGGGCACCTGGTACTCCGCCGCTCCAGGTGGACACGCGCACAGGCTGGGCTCGGCT